ACATGTTTAGGAGTTCCTTGGTGTGTAGCAGTAGATGGAACAACATCAATAGTAACCAATGGAACAAAGGGTCCATTCTCAATAGTGTGCTATTCAAGGATCCACATCTTCAAGAAAAAGAGACATACGGTTTTTTTGTAGAGAAAATGCTAAATCTAGAGGATTTGGAAAGAGAGCCACTAACTTGGTGGTTGTTTGCATCCATTACAAGATCAAGCTTAAGAAAGAAGAAAGAAGTAAACACTTCTCTGATACCACGTGTTGGTCCCAAAGGAGTAAACAAGACTGTAAAGGTTTGTAGAAGGGGGGCGTGGGTGAATACAAACACCAATTTTTACTTTCTAACTCTATTGATTATAATGCAGAAGAAGATAAGGTAGAACACCCAACATAAAGAAAACTTACTTTGCTAAAAGAGATAAAAAAATCTCTAACAAAGTTCACTAAGCTCACACAAATTTCTCCCTTACACAGAATACACACAGAAAATATCTCTTGAAGGTACACTCAAGAATGTCTTCACATATATTTATACTACATGCATTTAATGCACCATGTTGAGGGTACATTCTACATGTCAAAAAGGGAGAGGCTTGCGACACTCACACATTCTTGAACTGATCGCTTCTTAGCTGACTTGGCCATATGAACAGTGTACAAGGAAGGTGAGCATGCTTAAAAGGGAACAATAAAGCATTAGTCGTAATGTACTTTTCTGACATACAACTGCAAGGTTGACTTTGGCAAGGGAGGATAAGACGAAAGACTTGATCTTCAAGATTCTGGTTCAGCTAGAGAAGGACAATGAAGAAGGTTCTTCAGTACTTGCTGAGATTTCTTGCTTCATTAGTTGCTCACATTATTAGATACACAGATCTTTTGAAACCGCTTCAGTTCTTCCTATTTTTATCTTTAGCTATAACTTCGATATAACTAGAAGTTTCTCTTGATTAAGGGGCTGTTTGGCAATTGCTGAATGATTTAGTGCAGAATAGTTAAGAGGTCAGAATGGTTAAGTGTTGAATGAAATAATGTTGTTTGGTAATTGTTCTCTGAATGACAACAAATTACCATTTTAACCCTCTGCCTATTTGCAACTGATTYTGCTTTGCTTTCGATTAGTTTCTGCTAGACAACAAGTATCTATATAAATTGGACATCTATTTTGGYTGATGATATCTTGCTAGYAAGAAAGAATGGCATCCAAYCTTTACCAYWTATCATTATCACTTGATCAAGAAGTTCATCAATGAAGCATCATAGACAGAAACAAGCCACTGTTTCCTAAAATCATGTATCCACATAGACAGAAACCAACATGATTAATTATACTACAATTAGGAAATAGTACCCAGATTAACCTGCTTATGCTTAAATAGTCTCTGCCTCTACAATTATACAACATGATTAACCTGCTTATGTTTAAAAACAGTATCATGGCCTCAAAGCCACTGTTTCAAGAAACCTCATCGTGTGATTGCAAGGTTTAAACATAAAATTGAAGGAGGCGGTAGAGGAAGCAGATGTAGGGAAGCGAGGAGATCGATTTTAGAAGACAACCGGCGTGTCTGTGGAATGCAACGTGAAGACGACGTGAACTCGGTGAAGGCGACGGCTGGAAGGAGAGGAGATGGGGGAAGGGTAATCTTGGAAAAATAAGCATCTGAACCATTAGGCAACCCATTAGATGCAAAATGGTTAAGAGGTAATTGTCACCATTAAGAGGTTCTATTTTTTTTGCCAAACAGCCTCTACCTCTTACCGATTAAGATGCTGCCTCTTAATGTCACCATTAAGAGGCAAACAAACAGCCCCTAAGTGTGAGGCTAACATTGGGGTCACTAAGTAGTCATCTAAAGAATTATCAGTGAGTGAAAGAATTGTTCAACATTTAGTTAATGCAAAGTAGAAGAGAGACTATGTTCCTTACTGATTGAACATTCATTGAAAGTTTAGCTTATACACACAATGAACACATAAGAAAATTTACAACAAAAATTATTGAGTTACAAACCGAGTCATCATCAAAGCACTAAGGAGGATCAACAATGCGTGAATGGAATTTGGTCAATAAAATTGACCATTCCAAATCCTTCCTTCAGATTCCATCGGATTACCAAATGTCATCTAAGTTTACTAGCCTTGGAAGCTTCCATGAGCTATGGACTGGAGCCGATTCAGGATTTTTTTGGCTGTGATATAGTGGTACCACAAAATAATTATCGTAATAAACTATTCAAAAATTAATTATAAAATTATTACACATACTTTGTTTTTGGCTATTTTGGGTCCATTAAATATATATTAAGTATTTAAGTCATTAAAAAATTGCTACACTAGTTTATTTTCAAAAAATTCTCTCCTAAAACTTTAAACCAATTTATTGTTGGTGCATTTTCGGTTTTCCACTTGTTGATCTACATGATCGGTTCGAGATACAACATGTTAACCTCAAATATAAACAAGTTAACACTAAATTCAAAAGAGTTAGCCCAAATATAAACAAATTAATCTACAAAGTTAGTCCCTAATTAATAAAAAAAAAACCTAAAGCCTAAAAACCAACCGAACTCTAAACAAATAATGTAAGAGTTGGTTAACATGTTATTATGTTAACACTGTTACATCAATATGAACAAATTAGCCCTAACCAAAAAGAATTTGTATTCATGTTAAATTTTATTAAAAAAGTGTTTCACTTTATTATTCACGTTAAATTTTAATAGAAAAATTCAATAACAATCAACAACTAACATCAAGAAAAACGTGTAATTAATGATGATTATATTGTATTTTTATCATACATGCATTCCATTTTTTATTTGTGTCAACGTTTAAAATATTCAATATTGGGCTCATCTTAAAGGTTTCGACTAGATCTTTCTAATGGTCTAATTTATAAAAAAGAGACGTATTTTTCAATGTATTTTAGCTAATAATTAATTAAAATGATATGGGTGTAAAGTGAAAAATGAAAAAGGAAAGGAAAGGAAGTAAATTAAAAACATTAAAGTCTTTTGAAGGATGAAAACTAACTTATCATCAACTACCATCCTCAACTTGTTGAACCGTAGAGTTCTATTTCTTAAATTTTCATATAAAACCCCTAAAAGTTTTAAAGTTTATCAAGAAACTTATGGGTTCACATGTAAGGACCTTTATACTTGACCTGACCCCAACATTTTAGGTTTCATAGGCAACTACACCTTGAAGGGTGGATCCAACCTTGTACGTGGAATAACCATTAGATGTGTGATCTTAGATCTTCAGATGGGCCATTACCATTGAAATTGGTAATCCTACATTGGATCTTAGACAAACTTTTTCCATGGAACACGAAAGCGTTGCTCCTTGTAACTTGAGATAAATAAAAGCAGTTAGTTGCCTTGTCATGATGATCAAGATTTACACTTAGGTTTACGGCTATTACTTGTTGGCCATGTTGATTCACTAAGCAAATTTTGCTTCCATTGGCATTTGCTCTGGAAAAATGATATAGTGTGCAGTAATAAGAATGTGGCAGTGTTACAGTTACAAGAATGCTTAAACTTGAAGAGTCATGCAAATATATTCTCTTGGAAATATGTGGTTCAACATGCACCACCATATTAAATGTATTCTCAAGTTGTTACCTTCAAGTTTATGTCTCTTAAGTAATCTCGATGCTCCTTCTTTCAACAATCGTCCTTTGGCCTGACCCTATACATGAAATGTACACGACCATTTCATGGTTGTTTTGGCTATCTTTGAGGGAAATTGTATATAAAAGCCAATTTAAAACCCCTACTTTATCGCCATCTTTTCAACTTATTTTCGGAAACTATGCAAGTGACACTTACGCAACTAACATAACCCACTTTTTCAATATAATACTCAGAAAAAAGTAGATGTTAAACAAGTTGTATAAGTGGTACTTGCTTCATATCTTCATGGAAAACATTACATAAATAGCACTTATGCAATTTGTACAGTGTCTAATTTTCCTAAATATTATATTGCAAAAGTTGATCATGCAAATTGCTTGATATCCGGCTATTTTGGTCAATTTATTGAAGATATTGCTATAAAATGAAAAAGGAAGGTCCGATTGGCAATTTCGGTCAATTTCTCTATATTTGAGCTTGAAGAGGAGTGGTAGGAGGCACCATCAAATCTAGGGGGGTGAACATAGTACACTACCATGTTTTTTTTCCTTGTGTTGTATATCAACTAACTTATGATTGACATGGAATATCTTATGTCTTATACCAAACAACTAATAAACGTTAGTATTGGTTTTATACCGACATTGCAAATTGGTAAATTTAAATACATAAAAATACAAACGAAGTGCAAAGTTACAATGTTCAACGTTTTAAAAACTAATACAGAGTTTCAAAGAAGGCGTAATTCTTAGGATTTCATAAATCAACTGATGTTTTCAAACATGTAACAAAACATCCAATGTTGAAGCCAAGGGAGAATGTAACAAGACATCCAAAGTTGAAGCCAAGGGAGAAAGTAGCTACATGACTAAGGAGCCGTTTACCAAACACTTATCCGGTAAGCGTTTACCAGTAAAATTTTACACTATCACTTACTTACCGGATAAGATTTTAGTCAACAAAAAGGACATCTTATGTAATAATTTACCCGGTAAACGCTAACCATAGTAAGAGTCGTCGACCTCACTTACCGGATAAGACTTTCGGTCCTTGCCTTGCTCTTACCGAGTAATACTCATTCGGTAAGGTAACTCATTCGGTAAGGTAACGTAGACTTGGTAAGCACTTACCTGGGTAAGTGTTTGGTAAACGGTCCCCAAGTCGAGATAGGAAACGATTAGAATTTTTTAATAACTATAATTAATTAAATATATAAAGTCGATACATTAATAACATGGTATATGATTTCTAGTACCATTAACTAATCAAGTTTACATACCTGGTAGCTCAAATCCTATGAATCTCAATGACTAATCATTTTCATTTGATTAAAAGTAAAACAAGTAACCAAGAACATGAATGAACCTGTCTTTGCCATTTCATGATACCAAAATCGACGCCGAAGCAAGCCCAAAATATGAACTGATTATAATGAAACACGATGACGGTGACACAAAAAGAATAAATCCAAAGACGATTATCAAGCAGACACATCATCGTCCTGCTGCTTCCTTAGTTTCTTTTCTGCATGTTTATTACTATTATCTTCCCCTTTGGCAGCTTTAGCTTCACGACGCTCTCTTTTAACTCCCTTTGGCTTATAAGGTAACGACGCATTTCCAACCTGCAAACACACAACATATCAATAAATGTAGACTATGCTTTTGAAATGTCTTGACAATGGTTTAGGGCTGAATAGATAAGGTTATATTTGGCACACTAGCTGATAAGTTAGTTATTAGTTGAAAAGTTATTTGTTAACTGACAAATTAATTAACACAATGTAAATTATAAGGGGCATAATTGGAAAAAGAGGCCACAATAAGCTATCCGAAATAGCTTTGCAAAAAGCTACATGCTTTTTCAGTAGGCATAAAATAATAATGGTTGTCGAACATGTCTAAGGGGCTATATGGTCGGTTTTCCATTAAATCTTGTGTAGAAAAAGTTGTCTATGAACCACAAGGGTGGTGCCTGATTGGTACTTTGAGCTTGGATCCAAAGGTCAAAAGTACCAGGAGGTCCGAGGTTCAAATCCAAGGAAAAATAAAAATCCCCTTGTGGTCACGGATGTTCAAATGCGGTGACTGGGCAATCTGCAAAGCAGGTGGTCGCCCTGGGATTAGTCGGCTAGCATAGCGGGTTGGATATCCAGGTTAATAAAAAAAAAGTTGTCTATGTGGATTAATATATCTGTAAAGATTAGGAGGATTTTTGTTTGGAAGGGTTTTTTTCATAGATGGAATGAGCGTGTTTTTTGAGAGGTAGGTTTGGAAAAAACTTGGCTTTCAGCACCTAGCTCCCCTTAAAAGCTTACTGAATAAGCCACTTTCTATATCATTAAGTCACTACTTAACAGTCATATATAGCGGACCGAATAAGCTGAGTCCCATTAAACTCATTAAGCTATTAATAAACATGCCCTAAGTTGTTTTACATTAAGAGAAATGTTGTTGAGTGAACCTATTCTAGTTACCGGACAAAATCCAACAGCCAATTGCTGGCTCTCAAGTCTGAAAGGTTAGTCCTTCAAGAACCATTGCATGAATACAAGAAGCAAAAGCTATGAAGATGTCCAGATGAATGTGCAAAAGTTCAAGAAATAGTTAAGAAAACGAAAATCGAACTCCAACGAAGCTGTGGGATGTAAAAATATATCGGTAGGGGAGCATTCCGCCTTAGAGTGAAGCACATGTGCAAGCGCTAGTGGATGAAGCGGAAGTGAGAATGTTGGCTTGAGTAACACAAACATTGGTGAAAATCCAATGCCAAAGGGCGCTTCAATGTTAACAAAGGTGACATTAACACTTACTGGTGAGTCCCGTTTCTAAAGAAAAATATGATTTTTTTCATTATGAAACACCCCCTAAACTCGACTTGCTCTTTTAGGTAGATTTGTAGCTACCACTAAATTTACCATCAAACTGACCACAATTCCTCCCCTATAAGAACATATAAAAAATGCATTCTGAACGTCCACCTTACTTTAATGGTAGCAATCATGAGCAGAATCATGGATAGAACAGAGGATAAAGAGACAACAGTTTAAGTAGTGGCAATGTTTTCACTCACCTCTTGATCGGGAACATAGATCTTCCCGATTTTCCCCACAATAGCATCTTTGCTGACATTTTTCTCCTGAAATACGAGAAACATAAACATCTAAGACAAATATTAAATTTATTAGAGATGATACAGATATTGATACCACAAAAAACACAAGTGCATTCACGAGTTGCAGGGTACAAGCATCTAACTGGATAGATGGCTGTGCCATACTCTAAATCATCTAACGCATTTGTGACATTTTGATCTTAAGCATTTTCTTAAAACTTGATTGCTTTTTCCATTCTATAAAATTGCACCATTGGATTTTTGATGTATCGTTCAAGTAAAATGTTTGATTGCTCCTTTAAAAGCTACATACCCTTTAGTGATGATGAATAAAAGAGACGTGTGCACTCAAAGCAACAGAATCAAGTTGTCTGTAACGGCAAAATGAACCAAACTCAACCACCCGGTTTATCCCACCTCCGGGTTTTTTTTTTTTTTTTTTTTTTTTGGGGGGGGGGGGGGGATGTACACATACCTAGGCCATGTTTGACAATCTTAAGCTAACTTTTTGAAACGCTACTTGATGTAGCATTTCAATAAGCTCCAAGGGCTATTTTCCAAACAAGGCTTTTGTTTTCCAATAAGCTCAAAAAATAAGCTATCTTATGGTTGCCAAACGTGGCCTTGACCTCTACCCATAAAAGTAGGGTGGATGTTTCCTTGACGATATTGGTTAACTTAACTTCAGCTAAGAATCTTTCTACAAAAAGTAATGCCACAATTTTCATGGAAAATCACATATGTTGCAACTTTGACTGGATGAAAGTATTTTTCTTTGTTTGGGGGCAAGTGTGAATAAGCAAAAATTCAACCAACCTTCTTCTTTATTAGCTCAGGAGCAATTTTCATAGCTTCTTTCTTTAGACTTTCATCAGGAACACGATGTCTTCTAACTACCAAATCCATTGAAGGGCCCACCTCTACCAACTCCATCCTCGGGACAATGGTGCCAGACTTTTTAAGCCTCAGAGCACAGTGCGTGAACAACACTTTCTTAGAAGACACGGCTGTACAAACAAACACACGATCTAACCCAGCAAGATTTAGATTTTTCACAACCTGCAACGACGGGAATACGGAACCCATGCTTCATAATTAATACTTCCATAAGCATAAAAGAAGATAATGATTAAAAAGGGGCAACTAATACAAGGATGAGAAAGAACACACCTGTCCTCTGAACAAGTCCAGCAAAACCTCCTTAAGGTGTTTCAGCTCTTCAACATTCTCAAATCCTTCTCCAATAAAAGCAAAAAAAGGTTTTGATCCAATCAAGGGAGCTATTTTCTTATCATAAGAATATGATGCCATGCTTTTGAAATTTTCAACTCCAACCTCCACGAGGTCATAAATGTGGTGATCATATGTCCGACCTATCACAAGATTGTCAGGCCGCTTCTTTGAGTGTGAACCGAACTGCAAAGTACAAAAGTTGTTGACAAAGTAAGCTGAAGTGAAAAGATATGAGCAAGAAAAAGAGAGAAATAATTAAAGATACAGGTTAAAAAAACAACTAAAAAGGAAAGGAACTTCACAACTAAGCATTTGAAAAGCAAGGGAAGAAGGAAAATGGAAAAATAAAGACATAAGGGTTGTATGGTTGGCTTTCCATTAAGTCATGTATGCATAAAGACATAAACAGTGCGGATTAACCTATCTATATATATATATTGGGAAGATTTTTTCATAGATGGAAGGTGCCTGTTTTTTAATTGGGAGGGGCATGTTTGGAAAAATCTTAACTTTCTACATAAAGCTCCCTCCTAAAATCTTATCGAATAAGCCACTTTCTATATCATTAAGTCACTACCAATCAGTCATGTATAGCTGACCAAATAAGCTGTGAGTCCCAAAGCTCATTAAGCTGCTAACAAACAAGCCCTTACTCTGTCCCAAATATGTAAAGCCTTTCATCAAATGCATAAGATTTAACAAAAGTAGTTCTGTGGTGTAATCATAACAAGGGATTGCTAATATGTCCTAGAGAATATAATTGTGTTTCATCTTAAAACATTTTGTTTAAATGGTCTTTTGAGAACCATACATTCAAAATAATAATAAAAACAGCTTTCTTAATGATGCTTTTTTATGAGAAAAATCAGTGGTTTTTTAGAGGAACACCTAGAGCAACAAGTAGAAATGTAGTTCAGGTTCATTAAAGGTACAAGAAACCAAAGGTGCTCTAACTGGACGAAAATGCCTTTTCCACAAATACCTGGGATCAATTGGCAATACCCAATAATCAGACTTAGACTCAAGATCTCTAACTTATCCCAATCATTTAATAAAGCATTGGATGAAGATGTTAAAGAAGCATTGAAAATGATGTATTTGGCTTTACCACAAACAGGCTGCAATCAGTTTTGAGGGAGTAAAACTCAAGTGAAGTTTCACCACCACTCTCAAAAGGTCTGATGTTATCATTTCTCCGGCTATATTTCACAGCATTATCCTTCTTAAGATGATAGATTTCTGTCAATACAGAATTCAGAACATTGCTGGTTTTTGTCCCATGCAAGATGAGGGTCTTTTTCCCATATTCCACCTGCAAAAATACACAATTAAGCATTAGCTTTCATCAACAAACTATCTGATCCTCTCGATACAAAAGAAACAAAATTTTGGAGAATCACCAGTTTTGGCGCACGTTTCTCAAGTGCCCTCTTGGCTCTCATTGATTTGGGGGTTTTTATATGCAACATGATATAGCTGCAAATATATAACACAACACTATGTAAGGATAACCAGACATTACACATTTTTCTTGCAGACTAATTTCAGCAGACCTATACCACTCTTCTTAGAGAAAAGGATTAGAAATGCTTATAATAAGCAACTTCAACCAAGCAACTATTTTTACTCTCCTCATAAGTAACTTCAAATTCACAAATTTTCCCTCCACAATTTATGATGTAACAACACATGCCAATGCATTAACTAATTTAAGATTAACAACGAAAACAGAGGATCTTGAATTATCAAATAAGTAAAAAGACTACGGCCATTTACCAAAAGTTTACAGGCAAGAATGGTGACTCTCACTTTCTTCGCCATCAAAATGGATTGATAATAACCGTTTATAACAATATAAAGATGGCGACTAGGGTTGCTGTTTCCATTAGTGCTTATCGGCTGCCGGGTAAGAATCATCGCCGTCATTTACCGGGTAATATTCTCGATTGTAATTGACCAAGTAAAAGAGTAAACGGCCCCTAAGAAGGCCTCGTATCAACGTGACTAGCATGTGAGTATGCCAGAAGGCAAACAAACAGACCATAAAAAATCCCAAAATCCAAAAGAAGAGAAAAAAGAAAAGGTATAAACATTGACAAGCACGCTAAATAAACTAAACGCATACATATAAAGACATATCAAGAGCCAGTAACATAAAGAATAACACAACCCAAATCACTTTACTTAGAACAACTTACAAAATACCCTTACTCCAGAAAGAACAATGTTACAAAAAAACTTCATACTCCTTTAGGAACATTTACAAGTAGAAACCTTATCTTAAAATAACACCAGATGGCTCTCTTTTCAGTTTTCACTTTCTTTTTCTGAGCGAAAGCTAATTAGCAAACTACATGAAGAGATGATATGTAACAGTAACAAGTCTGAATTACTAAAAAATAAGGTAGTGAGTCGGTTTCTAGAGAACGAAATCGATTTGGTACAAGAAATCGTACCTTTGATCGACGAGGTCCGGAAAGAACGATTGGCAGTCGGAGAAATTAGCTGAAGGAGTACTAACGAAGAAGCAGGTCGATATTTTCTCTACGAGAGGATGGAGGCGATTTAATTTAGGTTATATACGGTTTTAGTTTAGGTTTACTCTTCCGAAGGGTAAAATGGTAATTTTTTAATTAGTCCTAAGTTGTTTCATGGTATTAAGGTAGTGTTTGATAAGCAAACCGGACGAGACTAGGCTCATTGTTTGTCTATGTTTGGTACGATTAGAACATAACTGGACTAATCGTCTGTCATGCATTTGATAAGCTAGACAAGACGGGACAAAACTGTTAAAATGACTAGATTACCCATAAATATAATTTAATGTTATTTTGCATCATATAATAATTGTAAATGATACAAATCAACCAAAATATATTTAAATAATTACATTTATAATATTTTCTAAATTTGTATAGATGACTCAAGTGATGGCCAAAAACCGGTTCCGGGCCGGTCCCAATCGGGCCCTATTATCTTCGTAAACGGCGGTAACCGGTCCAGCAATAACTGGTCCCGGTCGAAAAAGTGATGACAGGTCAAGCCGACTCATAACCGGTTATGGGATAACGGTCCCGATCCCAAGCATAAAAATATATTTTTTTAAATTTTTTTTAAATGATATATATTTTTACTATGTTATTAAATTTGTCGTACGGATCACTCAAATACACTTTAAAAATACGTTTTATTATAATTAAAATTACATTGTTTTACAAAAATTTATCAAAAAAATTATTTGAAAATACATTTATTCATCAATCTTCATCGGTATCTCATGTCGGATTGATTTGAAGAGTTTCGGTCTCTTAAATTCTTCTAATAGTCTCTTGGTCATCAAGATTGAGTTTCTCATCATCGTCATATTGTGAGTAAGTGCCGTCGGTATCGGTAGTTGGCGTCGTGCTTAGTTCCATGGAGATTTCTTTTTCTTCCAGATTTGTCGTGTGCTGAATCCTATCAACGCTATCCAAATAATTCTTTAAGCAGATGCAATACTCCACGGACTCCGGGCATAGTCTTGTCTAACGTATGGAAATGATTTTGCCACTAAGAGAAAAAGCAGACTCCGAAACTACGGTACTAGCTTGGATTGTTAGTACATCACGTGCGATGCACGCCAAAATCGGGAATTGAGGTTGTTTTTGTTTCAAAAAATCTAATAAATCATTCTTTTCAAAATCTTCGACATCATTTATGGTGCATACGGTCATAAAGTTAGTATACACATGCATATTTAGTTCACCCAAATCGTTATCATATCGACTTTTTTTACTTGATTCATTTAAAATCTCGTTCATTAAATTATTTATCAACTCTTTAAGACTTTATCGATGACCACTAGAAGAAGAATTAGAACCCGCAAATCCACGACTTGAAGAGTTTTGTTATTGGTTTCCTCCTTCGTAAAAATGTTTGTAATGATCAAATAAATCTTGAAAATTACAATTAAACAAACGTTTTTATTCCATTGAAAAAGAATTATCCTTAGCAGTATCCAAACCAAAAGCTACACATATTTGTGTAATAAAAAACTTCAACATCGACAATATTTAAAATACGGGTTTAACGTCGCAGCACAAAGAAAAGCAAATGGGATGCTCATAAAATATTTTAACAATTTATTTTTCACTAAAGACATCAACTTTCCCCAATCGTGATGGTCTTCGTATTGAGCAATCTTACTTGCCAAAATATATAATTGGTTTAAAACTAAAGGACTTGTTAGATAATAAATATCGGATAGAAGTGTTGTCGTATTTTTAAAATCACCTAAAATATCGTACAATCCTTCAAGCACGGCCCAATCAAGATTTCCAACAGAATTTTACGGATAATGGTGTCTATAAAAAGCAAAAATATATTTTTTTTATTATCAAATTTTCAATCATAAAATAAGTCGAATGCCAACGAACGAGTATTATCGAACCTCAGTCCCAAAGCTCTAAAACCAATGTCTTTGCAATACTTTTTATATTCCGCATTCATTTTTTTACCTTTTGTGAAAATTCGCCGCAACATAAGTCTAAACTTATCTATTACGGGTTTACAAATATTTAAACCGTCTTGAACAACTAAATTTATTATGTGTGCACAACAACGTGTATGAAATAATTTATCGTCTAATAATAGGTGTCAAATGACACTTTAATTTTTCCACATAAGCATTGTTATTACTAGCGTTATTAATTGAAATACTAATTATTTTAGCAGTTAAATTATAAAATGCAAGACAATTGTTAATAATTGAAAATTGATGTGCACCCGATTGTGGCGCACCAAACGGTTCAAACGCGATTACACGTTTAAATAAATGCATGTTGCAGGCTCAACCCAATGTGCCGTTATGCCGCATATATATGAAACTGGCAATCCGTATGGTGCGCTCCATACATCACACGTTAAAGAAATATTGTTAGGTAAAACGGAAAACATTTGTTGCATTTCGGTCTGACACATTTTCCACATTTTTATTGCATTACGTCTAAGGGTTTGATGACTTACCGGCTTGTATCGTGGTTGTAGCATCTTTTGAATCAACTTTGTAACGTGAGGGTTGTCGAAATGTCTGAAAGGCAACCCGACTTGAATGACACATTGTGTTGTCATTTGTCGGTTCAACTCGGCATCATACGACCATATTTGACCTTGAGTGTTAAGTATTGGTTGGCTTTAATCGCCCCCCGACCTCAACCCGGGGCACGTTTTTTGGTGTGCCTCCTTAAGGTAGAATTTCATTCCATCGTAAGGAGAGCTTGACACATTTTGCATTGTGCCTTTCTTTTTCCGTTCGTGAAAACCACCAAGTTGTAGTGATTCCAAATCTCGGACTTTCGTCCGTGTTCGGCGAGAACTTGGGCAACTTGTTCGTTTGATGTATCGTGTTGTTCACCGACCATTTTGTAAGACAAAGAGAGAAAGAAATGCAATTCGTGAAATGGAAACGAGAAATTAATACGAGTCAAATTCACAAAATATAGCGAGAAACCGAAAATTGTGAACCTTTTTTTGCGTTTTTGAAGAAGAGAGAAAGTTAGGGCCTATTTACTTACCCTTTATTAACCTCTTACCCAACAAGAACCACTTATCCCATTAAGAGGTAGGTTGTTTACTTAGGGCTGTTTCAATAAACTCATCTGACCGCGCCTCTTTCTAGATAACTCTTGGTCAGCAACAAAGTCTACGCTGATCAAGATCAGCGTATCTTCTCTTTGATTTCTTCCGATTTTATCCTCATCGCTCGCTATATCTATCATCTTCCTCACATTATTAGATCATTGCTTCCCTCAATTGTGCTGCCTACAACAAATGACCTCACCTTCTGTCAATTTCATCTCTTATTGCTGTCAATCGGATTGTATCAATTGCAGGTATTATTTTCTTTATCTATTCAATGATACACATGTTTGAAACACATATTTCACTCTATTGGGTCGAATTTATGTGAAGGTGTTCATAATTCCATCCGAACAGTATATTGGATCGAATATAAGGTTACATAAAACCATGAATTTTAGTCGAATTAGGGAACAACCTCTTAACCTAATTACTGATGTCTATATTATCGGTAAGTTTCTATGCTTAATTTTGCTTCTCAAGGTATGTTCATATATATTTCTTCTGATAGATGAAACAGAGAGTTCTAGGACTTAAAACCTGTGATTTAGAATGAAGGATAAGGTGAGAGTCGGAGAGAGCCTTATCACTCAGCTGTGCTGCCATTTTGCTATGAAATTTTATCGAGATACTAGTGGAATAACATGCATTACCTTCGAAAATACATAAAATGGAAGAGAACAGTGATGTCGTGAATGGTGGTGACTGTTTCATTCCAAACAGCCCCTTAATAAGCTAAATTTCATTCCAAAGAAAATAAAAATTTATAATGCTATACAATACCATGCCTTAACTATGTAGTAAGTATTTGCTTGATCATCATATGCTGAGTGTTCTTTAGATTGTTAAGTTAATTCATGAATCTGATTCTTTGCCTCCTGCAAGACTTTACTGTCTGGCTTCATATGAATATAGCAAATACTAATACAGTCACCTCATGTAGCAAATCCTGAGCATATAGAAACACTAAACCACAAATTATACTTGTCATATGACAGCTTGGGCAATGTAAAACAGTCGAACAACTGAGTGTAAAACAGTCGAACATCTTGACCTTATGTTGGTGACTGTTTGGTCAATGTTGGTGACTGTTGGTGACTGTTTGGTCAATGTTGGTGACTGTTGGTGACTGTTTGGTTGAGCAACTTGATGTAAACAATGCCTTTTTACATCAAGGTTAGGATGAGGAAGCGTATATAACAATAACACCTGCTTACAAATGTAATAAAGCAACCGAGGGGGCAATTTCTTTTAGCATGATTAGTATAATATGATACACTTGGGTAGAAGTCAAAAGATGATCAATGAGATTAACTATCAGCTTCATTTATAGTTCAATGTTAAAGATTTGGGAACTCTTGGATATTATCTTAGCATTGAAGTCTTAAGGAATGACAGGGATTTATTGCAACAAATAGGAAGTATGCCTAAGAATTTTTAAAAAAAGCTGGTGGTACAGATCAGAGACCTTGTTCTAGCCCTCTTATGCATCAAATTGCGGTTGAATGAGGGAGAGGACTATGCAGATCGATCTTTCATAAAAGCATAGTTGAACACTTATTATATCTGACCATGATTAGACCAGATCTGGCTTTTGCAGCTCGGTCTTTGAGTTAGTAATGCATAAATCTAAAATAACTCATTTCAAAGCCTTACTTAAGTGCTCACACACTAGCTCTTAGACATGGTCTACATTATTTATCCATGTCGACTAGTTAGGGACTTAAAATTGGGCCTTTATTAGGTTATTAGTCCATTCGTTAACAGCCCTAAGTGAGACCCGTCTTGATTGCCTCTTGCGACTCGTCAATCCCCTTACTCGAACTACAAAGTACAAACCGCAATCACTGTCGTCCGACGATTGACTGCTGCCGACGATTCAATGCATCATTTCGTATGTTAGTGGATGATGAAATTTTATTGTAA